TATTCAAAATGAATACTTTTTGTGGCACGATTCAAATATTATTTTAAAACCATTTAGGCTATGATGATGTTTTATAGATAAATCTTAGCGAATATGATACATTATTAATTAATAATCTTAAACCATAATAAACTTGATTATATTCTAAAATGACTAAATAAACTAATCTACTTGTAAATTTGATGTCATTTGCTATTTAAATACAATATTGATTGGTATTATTATTTATTATGAATTAAACATTTAATTAATAATTGATAACCATTTTACATTAAAAATATTTTCAATTTATAGATCATTTATTTCATCTATTAAAGTGTTGATTAAATCATAATAATTAGAATGAATCTTATTAAAAGATATGATCATAATATAGCAGGATTGAGACAGTTGTAAATCTATTTTGCAGAACTTCTAATGATCCAACCTACTAGTATTTAATATGGAGAAATTCCTCATAAATTATTTAGTGAAAAATTGATCATAAATCTCAAAAGAAATAACAAACAAATTTTAATAAAATGAATTTCTATTTTTAGTCAAAATCATTTTTATTTTAGCCAATGCAGCAACAAGACTAACTACTCCACAAATAACAACTTGACTAAACCCAATACTAATAAAACTCAATCCAATTTTAGTTAAAATCCCAAAACTTACTTTGGCAGCAACCTTATATAAAAAAAATGAAAAAGTTTAAGCCAAATAGGATAAAAAAGATAAAATAACTGAATTCCCTCCGCTGAATATATTTGCCACGATTAAAATAGCGGCCTTTGCCACACTTATGGTACATGTAGATATCTAAGGGATGAAACCAAGAGAAGGCAATGACAAGACTCCAACTTAAATAAACCCTCCAAATATCATACCCATAATAGTACAACCACCTACAAAATTTTTATTTTTAGACCATTTTATAATTTCAATTTTTATATAAGTTCATAGCACATGTCAAATAAATCATGGAGTGAAACTTATCCTATAGTTACTCCTAAGGCAAATTATCCCATTACATATAATGATTTTATACTTCTTGTATATATACTTTCATCGCTTTAATTCCATATAAAATATAATTCTACTAGTATCGCACCAGCTGCAATAACTCCATTTACTAAGGGAATTAAATTAATTATTGATATAATTGTAATGATTACTGCATTACCAAATATTTCCCAAATACTTTACTATTTAGAACATCTAATAATTTCAGAAATAATATCAAAATAAAATGATGGATCTTTTAAATTAACCTATGCTAGTTTATTTATCAATGACATATCAATTGAATTATTCACAATATTTTAAAAAGATGACTTTATCAAAATTTTTGCTGTTTAAAGAAGGCTTTATATTTAAACTCTATCTGTTGCTTAATTATTTATATCTTTAAGAAATTCATTAATATATTTTTTGACAAAATTAACATAATGAATACAAGAATTGCTAATTAAATTGTACTTCTTGTGCTATGAAGATTAATCATATATATCTTGAACAGTAAATATTTTGTTGAACTAATCTTATTGATATATTTCGTATTGTTAATAATGATGTTTTTCTTCATCTGTAATAGTAGAACAGGTAAATCCTTCTTATAAATTGTGCAATATATATTAACCCTTCTCTTCTGTTTTTACAATTATTGCATAATGAAGTGGAAAAATTTTACCTAAAAATTCATTCATCCATTAAGATGCACTTTTTAGTAGATTTACTTTTAGTTAAGATGATTATAAAGGTCTTTTGGCAATCTCAATTGTTATTATTTTTTAAGAAAGTTATTCTTCACTAAGTTAGTTAGGCATTAATTTTTAATTATATTAATTTTTAGAGATTTTTAATTAATTTATTCTGTTATTCTATTACAAAACATAATAGAATTATCTAAATATATTATTATAAAATTTAAAGCGACATCAACTTATTGATTCAATATAAAGAATTTTTTATTACAGATTTTCTTAAGAATATAATGAATATCATTATAAATAATTGAGTTAAATTTTAATTAAAATTTGATAAAACCAGTTACTTCAAAGACAAGATTTTCAATATTAATACATTTAATAAAAAAACTGATCCTTAAACTTAATTTTTTGTTTTACCCTTAGAATTTTAATTCATTAAATAAGGTAATATTTGATTTTTGATAATATTAAATAAATTGTAAATACTTAAATCTTAATAAAAAAATTCTAATTAATTAATATGAAAATTTTAATTGTATATAATTATCCTTCAATTTAATTTTTGTTAAAGAAGCATATATAATGTAAATCTTAATTTTGAGACCAGAAACTGTAAAATTTTGGATTGTTAAATTCAATTTCAAATCAAACCAATAAATAAATTTGAATCAAGTTATACAATACTCAAAATTTCAGAATTCTAAGTCTAAATTTACAATCAATTTTTGCTATGAAAGGCAAGATATAACATTAATTAATCATTTGGAAAAGCAAAAGAGGAAGTAGCTGAGAATTTGATATTAAATACATTATCATCTTCAAATTTATCTAATTTCTTTTTTAAAAATAATGTTATATTTTTAAGAAAATTTTTTTGACACTGAAAAAGAGAGGAATGATGAGTGATGTGAACAGAAACTAAAAAAAAAATTTGTTCCTTCAAGGTTAAAATTATTTCAAAGTGATGATTGGTTTATAACAATCAAACCTGTGAAAGTTAGGTACTAATGAAATATAAGAAGCTAAATTTATGATGATTTATAAATTAAAAATGTTAAAATATTTGATATTTTGATATTTGAAATTAGTGGTTTTATGATCCAAAAAAAAATTAAAACTTCTCGATTAAATCATAGATTAATAGCAATTTTTAAATTATATATTTAAATATACTAACATAATACGAAAATTACATTAGACCAGGAGTTTTAAATCTATTTCTGATTTATTAATTTTCATTTTCTAAATATTTTCATTTTTTTGATTTTATGAATAAATATTAATTATTTTTTTAAAAAGGTAATAAAATATTCATTAATTAAACCATGAGATTCATTAGACAAAAGCAATAAAGTCAGGCTAATAATGATAATTAGAAGCAGTTACTTAGTTTATATTACATATATAGTCATAAAATTGAAAGTCTTGGTGATTAAAATAAAATAATTTTGTTTTAATCGGATTTATTCTCAATAAGAATACTTAAATTTATCATAATTTAATATTTGTTTTCCAATTCGAAATAGTTTTTGGTTCAAAATTAATTCTCTATCTTTTCACAAGTTTCATCTTATTTATTTTGATGATTTATTAATATCTAAATAGAAAATTTTATTTTTTAAGTAATTATTTGTTATCTATAAGATAACTAAAGCATTAGTTAATATGATCCTCAAATTATGTATGATTTTGCTTATAGACATGAAAACTGATTTAATAAAACAAAATTACCATTCTATTATATTTTATTTAAATGAATTATATTAA